AGTATTCCCACCAAAAAATATTTCATCTGAACCCAATCATGAAGAAATGACCAAATAAATCAGATTGTAATCAGCTGACAAGACAACTGACCTAAACTCTAAAAATATCAACACATTCTGTCATGAAACACAAAAAAACGGCAGAGGGAGAGGGCCATTCTAGATTAAAGGCACCAAAGAGACATGACAATGAAATGTAATACCTGATCTTTGATTAGATCCTGGATTAAAAGGAAAAAATGGCTACAAAGGATGCTAGATTATAAGAGAGAAAAGAAAAGAATATAGTATAAATAACAATATAAGTAAAATAAAATATAAAATGACATCAAATTAACTTAATATGAACTATACTTCTAAGATACAACTGTATGTAAATACTATTATGATATCAAAGCTAAATTTCTTGGTTATGATTAATGTGTTTCACTTATACGGCATGAAAGATAACTGCTTATGAATTTGTGGGTGATGAATCACAGTGTCTGCAACTTAGTTTCAAGTGTTTCAACTCGTGAGAAAGATAATGTTAAAAAGTAAAATACAATAGAACATAACACAAAATAAGACAAAATCTAACTTTTTTAAAGGTTTATTCAGAAATGAAGAATGAGATTTACTTAAGAAATCAGTTGTGTACAATTGGCTAATTAAGTGTTAATAGTTGAGTGGGGCTCCTGGGAAAGCCAATTAAAGGGAGTCGATTGCAGGGGAGTAGTCTCTTTTGAATTTTTGCTTTTGTCCTTCTTCCTTCCTCCTTCACTATCTTCAGAAGACCGAATCCACAGAGGGAGCTGGAGTGAGGCAGCCATTATGCAATCAATAGGGAAAGACTAAGGAAAGCTCTGTGATCTTGGGCCTATCTTCCCTGAGGTTCTAACCATCAGCAGCAATCACCTACCCTTGCCTGCTCTTGGTGTGAGAAAAATGAACTCCTAAAACAGAGGCTCCCAAATGTTCTCAGTTTATGGCATTCTTAGTGTCTTGGTAATTTATTCATGGTGCCCCTAGGCCAAATGGAACAACCTAACAGTTTCATTTATTATGTAGTTAGGTGTCAACAACTTAATAGTATGTATGTACTACTTTATTATTAATAATAAAATATATTATTAATATAATACATTAACTATTTGAAAATAATTTATTAACTATTTGAAAAACTAACATAAATTTAAAATAAAAACATTTTTGTTTCATTTTTAAATAATCACAGTTACTAATGAGAAGTTTCAATTATGCCCTCTACTGCTCTTCAAACCTTAGAATCAGACTGGACATTCCCCGCTTCATCTTCTATTCCACACTGATTTTCAGAGAACTTGTTTTTTTTTTTTAATTGTGGTAAAATAACATAAAATTTACCATCTTAACCATTTCTAAGTGTACAGTTCAGTGGCATTAAATACATTAATATTGTTGTGCAACCATCATCTCCACTCATTTCTCTTTTTCATCTTCCCAAGAAGCTCTGTTCCCATTAAACAACAGCTCCCCATTCTCTCCTCCCCCAGTCCACAGCACCCAGCATTCTCCTTTCTCTCTCTATGAATCTGACTATTCTAGGAACCTCAGAGAAGAGGAATCATACAATATCTGTCCTTTTGTGTCTGGCATATTTCACTTTTGTGTTTTTGGCATAAAGTCTTAAAGGTTCATCCATGTTGTAGTATTTGTCAGAATTTCTGTCCTTTGAAGGCTGAATAATATTCCATTGTATGGATATGACACATTTTATTTACCCATTCATCCACTGATGGACACTTGTGTTACTTCTACCTATGGTGATTATCAAACTACTTTTTTACTACTTTCTTTAATCCCAAATACCAGATATACAGTTTCTCAAAGATATGATATCATCAAAAGCAACAAACTGCAATCTAATAGTGAAACTATGAAACTTTTCAAGCTAGTAGTTTGCCTGGTGTTCAGGGATGTCACATATTCCCTTGTTTCCTCCAAAATTTAAAATATCTCAGGCTCCCTCTGAGTTTCCTGTGACACCCCAGTGCCCTGGACACACTATTTGAGAACCATATCCAACAATGTTAAAACCACAGTTATTTGAGTTTTCATATGAGCAGAACTCAATCCTTAAGAAACATAAACATTACAACCAAATTTAAATTTCTCATGAAGCTCCCATTGGAAATTTTGAGTCTTCAAGCCAGATTTTTGTCTGTGTGACAATCCCTGGGTAACTAATTCTATTAGAGATACACAGAGAGATACACAGCTCCTACTGGTTCTGTTTCTCTGGAGAACCCTAATATACCCAAAGAGTCACAGGCACTAATCCTTCTAGAGCATGACATTCTCAATAATGCATGGGAAAGCAGAAGCAAAGTCACGGAGAGATGTCAACCTCGCTTATCACATCATCCCCAAGGTTACAATCCTTCCACAGCTCTCCAGTGTCCTCAAGACAGATCCAAATTCCTTGGCATGTCACTCATGACCCTTTATCTAGCTAATCCTTATTCTTTTCCACCCTCATCTCTTACCAGTCTCTGCAATTGCCCACAATGTGAAACTGGATAGAAGTTCATGAAATTTACCATGATCTCTTCTCTCCAGGTTTTGAGTGTCCTTTTCTTTCTACCCAGAGTAAGTTCCAGACAGCCCTGCTCCTTCACAGGCATGCACATGCACACATGCAGATACACACACACATGCACGCAGCACACACACACACACACACACATATTCTCCCATGACTGTAAGGCTAGCTCCTCATCCTTCAGGTGTTTTCCTAGATATAATACTCTCCTCCCAGATCCACTTTTCAAGCACAGACTGGAAACCCCTCCAAATATTGCCATAACACCCTGAGATATCCGTACCAGAGCCTTAATTGTGCTTTATTTTAACTATCCACTTATTTGACTGAATTCTCAACTCCTTGAGGTCCTGGACTATGTTTTACTGGCTATTATATCCCACAAAAAGTTGCTTACCTACAATATATACTCAATAATTATTTGTTGAGCAAATGATTGGATGAAGTTCAAAGAGCCCAAGATCACCATTCTCAACCAGTTATTGGCCTAGTTTAGGAACTGTCAACCAAGATCTGAAAAGGACACATCCAGCCATTCCTAGCACCACACAGACCACAGGTGTTATCCAAGCTGCAAGGTCAAGGAGGATAATAATACAGCTGTCATCAACCCCCTTATCCATGTGAATGCATGCTGCAACCATGTAGATCCAGAATAGGCACTGCAAGCTTGGAAACTGAGCAAGGAGCCAGAAAATCAAGAAGCAAATCAGGAAGCAGTGCTGATTTTTACATAAATTCCAAGATGTATTAACCCTGAGAGTTCATTATTCCTTAAGTACCTGAAGCATTTTTTATAAACCATGATTATAATTATAACCACTTCTAGTCACTATTAAGGCAACATTCCCAGTTACTGCTTTGGTAGTGCTTAAGTCACTTACTCTTCCTAGACGTTAGTTCCCCTATCAGTTCATCAACAAAGGCTTACAACTCAGGGCTGTTGTGAGGAATAACTGAGCCTATGTACTGGAAAGCACTTAACACAGTGCCTGGTACATGCTGAGTTATGATATAATAAATGAAAGTTATTAACATTATCACCATTATTATTGCCAGTCAGGATTTCAAACACAAGTATATATAAAAGCAAGCTACAGTTCATTAGTCAAGCATGAGCTGAAAGATTTCACTGGCCTCAGCCCCTGAAAATACAAACACATGAGCTTGACATTAAGAAACTTAGTTTGCCACACCATGAACATAGCAACCCAACAACGACAGAGCATTGTGCATGCAGCCCCCAGGAAAAATTTTTCCTATACTTACACTAAAGATCAATAGCTTTGAGAAATAAAACAACTTAAAACCAAACCTAGATCAAAATAGAAAAATTTTTTAAAAGAAGAAAGTTACACATGTTTAGTATTTTCTGTATAAATCTACTCATTTATATCAATTTCTCTATACACAGAAATACAAACACTAAAACAACCAACTTTGGGGCTACTTGCCTGACATAAATCATTAATCATTATAACTGGATGTGCTATGAGTTAACTGGGTAAATGGCTATTCACAGGGCTGCTAGTAATCTTATTTTGTGTATAAACATTTAACCTAAATGCTTAAAATATCTAAAAGAATATATAATTGTACTATTTTACATAACAAAGCTATATTTTATGTGGGATACATATTCTTTCATCTTCTAGTCCAAATAGACATATCATTAGCAATAAGTCAACATCAGTTTCTATAGAGAGACTGTCATATAAATAATCTGTTATTCTCCAATAATTATTCTTTAATTTAAAATGTATAATAATTCAAACACTACTGAATTAAAAGAATTCTCTCTGCATTTCAAATTAACAAGTTTTTCTAGTTCTCTGTAAGCACAAAAATACATCTTTTCATTATATTCTTCGTTTCCTTTTCTATTGTCACTAGCTACATTATAAAAATCGTAGGACTGCTCTTAGAATAACTTTTTACCATTTTTATGTACTAGTTCCTCATTTTATTGGCTATTAAAATTTCTCCCTTTTTAATCCTTTTCCCTCCAAATCACTTTTATTCTAGCACCCAATTAACATAATGACAGTTCCAGCCACCCATCTCCTCCCTGGCCTGCAGAATGGAGGTCCTGGTGAACCAGGGTGAGCTCTGTGTGACCCGAGGGCAGAATCATTCTAAACTTGCTTTTGCCCTTCCTCCACCACCACACACTCTACCTCCCTGTTTCTGACCTTTCTATCTCATCTTCCATTCTGTTTCATAGTCCCGTGAGGTGTCACATTTACTAATGTGGCTCCCTTGCCTTCGCACATATCCACATTCACATTCTTTCTGTCAAAGCTAGATATCATGATGAGACCATCAAGTTTGACCCTAACACTTAATCATGTATTTTTCCATAAGACTTGCTGGAAGAGAAGAGAGCAGAAAGAGAAAAAAGCATCCACATTTAAAAGATCCCAGAAAACAATCCTACCTTTCCCAGGATTTGGAGGAAAAGGGCTTCCAAACTCCTGCTGCTTTGGCTTTAAATTGTGTGTCCCTGACATGTCTCCAGCCTGGGTAACCTGGAATCGTGGCTTCCCATTGGTGAGCACTTGTCTTCTGGGACTCAGGGCAGGCAGATGGATGGGGCTCTCAGTCATGTTGCTCGGAGGAGCCATCCCTCCTCCTGAGGGCATCTTGAGATGGAGGCTGTTAGCAAGGCTTCCAATAGCAGGACTCGGTGTGCTGCCACAGGATGATGGGCCAGAAGTCCTTGAGTGGGCTCGGATGGGAGGAATGTGCTGACCACTGACCATCCCAGGCCCCTGAGGGGTTCCTGATGTCCGGTGGAGATTCATGCTGCATGACCTTCCATTCATTCTGAAAAAACCTGTAGCCAGAGTGGTCAAATATCCAACGACAATAATGACTCCTTTCAGGCAAAGTCCAATAAGTTATCCATGGTGTGGGTTATTAGCCTGTTTAAAAAAATAAATGCAGGCATTTTTAAAAGTAAAAACGAAAATACGTTACAGTGAGTTTTCAACCCCTGTACCATTCACATCAGGAAGAAAAGAAGCACCGTCAGCAAAATGGGTCTTTTACGTATAAGAGGGTTACAGAATACATACATGGTTGACTGGCAAGCACTCTCCCATTCTGCATTCACGGTAGGCATGGATTATGGATCACTACATTGTGGGGTTTTTTTGCCACCAAACCCTTATCAATATAGTGCTCTTGGCAACTACAACCAATCTACTGGTGCCAGCTTGCAAAATGAAACTTATTTTGCTCCCTAGAGGATCTGTCTGGACTAGTTCACTTTTGCTACAGTGTGTCTTGGGAAACCCGAAACCATCAACTTCATGAGCTGTGAGACTAGTGCTTTGAAGGTTCCAGTAAACAAAAATAAGATATAACCTCTAAATGAGATTATGAGGGCATCAAAATTCTCAGATTTTTCACTCTATTATGAGCAACTTTTTCACAGTCCCTAGATTTACGAAAGATAAAAATATAGGCCTGGGGAATCTCACAAAGGCTTTGTACATCCATATATCCAAATATTCACAGCAGTCTTGGTCCCATATTGATCCTGAGTTATGGGGATGGAAACAGAATTAACATCACAATACTCTTACCTTCCAGTAAGACGCTAGAAAAAGAAAGTGCTGTGCAAAAAAGCCTCACGGAAAGTACAAGGACAGAACAGCGTTTCTAGAGGTGAGTACATTCACCATGCACCACACACATGAAGCTTCTGTTTGCTATCCAACCACCCCCTTCCTCATGTGACAGAAGGAGAACCAAAAGTAGTGATCTGGCCACAAACATCACCATCCATCCATATATAATAATGTCAGTCAGCACTCCCTGGTTACAAATCATTAGCAAAGGCCTTTTCCTCCCTTAATCAATAGCTCCCCAAAAAGTATATAATGACTTGACTAAGTGCCACAATCTGTATTCTTTTATATAGACATGATAGTCATGGAAAGAAGTCAAAGCTGAACAAACACAAGAAATACAGACTGAGTGCAAAGTAGTAATGGCCAGATATCCTCAACTGGATGACTCCTACTTTTTCTCTATGAGCCACTCAAACTCTTAGGCAAATATTTCCAACTCAGCTCCCAAATGAATGCTCCATAAATCATCAAGGACAGGATATCAAGGAGGGCAAATTTTTTTTGCAAAGAGTTTTTTCCTTTATCATTTTAGAAAATCAGAAGTACAGGTATCCCTTGCTTTTCAAAAGTTCACTTTACACTGTTCACTTTTACAAAAGAACTACATAAATACCTGTTTCACTAACCAAAAGAAATCCGATATTATGAAAAACTATATGGAACCAAACTGGATAACCCAGAGGAGATGGACAAGTTTCTAGAAACATACTGTCCACCAAGACTGAATCAAGAAGAATCTGAACACTTGAACAATCCGATCACTAGAAAGGAAATAGAAATAGCAATAAAAAACCTCCCTACAAATAAAAGTCCAGGACTGGAGGCTTCACCGGGGAATTCTACCAAACATACAAAGAAGAACTCATACCAGTCCTTCTCAAACTCTTCCAGACAATTGAAAAGGAGGGAATACTCCCAAACTCATTCTATGAAGCCACCATCACCCTGATACCAAAACCAGGCAAAGACACTACAAAAAAAGAGAATGATAGGCCAATATCACTGATGAACACAGATGCCAAAATCCTCACCAAAATTTTAGCAAATAGAATCCAACAACACAT